AAACAGCAAATCGAGCAATGCAACGCTTGTGGTGAAAATATGTGAAAATAGTGTATTTCGATGCAGCCAATGCAGCTTTCAAACTCGAAACACCAGAAATACAACAGAGCAACGACCTTGTGCGAAACAAGTGGAAGACAAGTGAGCTTACTGGGAGCCAAGTCGAGACATGTGGGAGACAAGTGTGAAATCATGCGGCCAGAGCGCTCAGAGCATCCAGAGCTTGCTGGGAGACAAGTGGGAGACAAGTGTGAAATCATGCGGCCAGAGCACTCAGAGCATCCAGAGCTTACTGGGAGACAAGTGGGTAACAAATGGGAGACAAATGGCAGACAAGTGTGAAATCATGCGGCCAGAGCACTATAGAGCATCCAGAGCTTACTGGGAGACAAGTGGGAGACAAGTCTGAAACCATGCGGCCAGAGCACCCAGAGCATCCAGAGCTTACTGGGAGACAAGTGGGAGACAAATGGAAGACAAGTATGAAATCATGCGGCCAGAGCACTGAGAGCATCCAGAGCTGACTGGGAGACAAGTGGGAGACAAATGGGAGACAAGCGTGAAATCATGCGGCCAGAGCACTGAGAGCATCCAGAGCTTACTGGGAGACAACTGGGAGACAAGTGGGAGACAAATGGGAGACAAATGGGAGACAAGTATAAAATCATGCGGCCAGAGCAGAGAGCATCCAGAGCTTACTGGGAGACAAGTGGGAGACAAGTGGGAGACAAATGGGACACAAGTATAAAAACATGCGGCCAGAGCACTCAGAGCATCCAGAGCTTACTGGGAGACAAGTGGAGACAAGTGTGAAATCATGCGGCCAGAGCACTCAGAGCATCCAGAGCTTACTCGGAGACAACTGGGAGACAAGTGGGAGACAAATGGGAGACAAATGGGAGACAAATAAAATCATGCGGCCAGAGCACTGAGAGCATCCAGAGCTGGGAGACAAATGGGAGACAAGGGTGAAATCATGCGGCCAAGCACTCAGAGCATCCAGAGCTTACTGGGAGACAAGTGGGAGA